AAGAAAAGGGGAATCTAAAGCGTGAGGAAAGAATGAAACCCTAAATACAGGTCCTTTGATTAGCATAAGGTCAATGGGGACAGCCTAGACAGTAGGAATAATAGAAGGCCCTTTAGCAAGACATTATTATTGACATTAACCTCCAAGCTCACATTGAGTAAAAGGCCAGCCCCACAGTAGCAAACAATGTCTGGATGGATTAGAATTCTGCAGGGTGGTCCAGTGTCCATGCAAAAGGTGGAGCTATATTCAGGTGGTTGTAGAGACGTCTACCAGGCCCTGCCAAACAGCGGGAAGTTCCTTGCAGCCCTGTCTGCAAAGGAACAATACTCTTCACACCTTCGTGTCCCCCACATCCACTGCACAGACCCCAACACATCGGTCACTTTAATAGATTTTTTTTTTTTAAAAAAAGATGATTTATATTTATTGGAAAGGCAGATTTCTAGAAAGACAGAAAGATCTTCCATCTGGTGCTTCACTCCACAGGTGGCCAGAGTTGAGTGAATCTAGAGCCAGGAGCCTCTTCCGGGTCTCCCACGTGGTGCAAGGGTCCCAAGGTTTTGGGGTCAGCCTGCTTTCCCAGGCCATAAGCAGGGACCTAGATGGGAAATGGAGCAGCTAGGACACAAACTGGCTGCAAACTGGTGCTTGTAAGGGAGAGAATTAGCTAACTGAGCTGTCATGCCAGGGGGCCTTCCCCCCAAAATCTTTTTAAAAAGCTTATTATGATTTAATTAGAAGGCTGAGTGACACAGAGGACGAGATTTTCCATTCTCTGGGCTGGGCCAGTTGGAAGCCAGGAGCCAGGAACTCTAGGCTTCCCACGAGGGAGGCGGGGACTAAGTTCCTTGAACAGCTATCTGCTCCTGCCTGTCCAGGCACAGGAAGCCGGATAGAAAGTAGAGCAGCTAGTGCTGGAATTGGGTCCTGGGATAGAGGAGGCAGGTGTGAGGAAAAACCCAACTTGAACTCTTACACCTCAAAACGGAGCGGATTTCCTGAATCCCTGTTTAACAAGAGGTTTGGGACATGTGTATGGAGACACACGGCAGGAAGATGGCGCAGTCCCAGGCCAGGGTGGGGGGCTCCTGCTCCCCTCCACAGTCCTCTATAGCCTTCCCCAGCTCAACTTTTCCTGGCTCCATGGCTGCCACTTGAAACCCCCTGTTCAAGGGCCATCAGGACCGGGGCATCTTTGTGCCACCCATCCTCAGACACTGGCAGGTGGAGGTGCAAAGATGGCTGAGGAAGCCCCCAGACAAAGTGGCTCAGCTGCATTGCCACCCTGTGCCACTCTTTCCCAGCTTCCATTTGCACTGTTTCTACAATGGAGCTGTTGATCAAGGTAGCTGAGAGCTAGGCAGGGAAAGAGAAGTTGCAATAACCACTTCTGTTATTGTTTTGTTTTCCCTTTATCTCCAGGACCCAACTTGGCTGCCTGCAGTTAAGAAATGTATGCCAGGGAGCCCGCTGCTGGCCTTCCCCTCCGGGCATTTCCCCTGGCCTCCTCAGCCCTCATGCTGCTCCTCAGCAGCCTCTGGCTGCTCGGGGCCGGCCCCAGCCTTGCCCTGGCTCCGGAGTTGCTGCTGGACCCCTGGCAGGGTGAGGACTTGGCATATCATGCAACCTGGGAGGAAGGCAGATACCCATGGGGTGGAGCCTGGGGACAGAATGCACAGTTAGGCCGCCTTGTCTGTCAGCTTCCCCTGGAATTCAGTTCAGTTTCTGGGGGATGAGGATGTGCTGGGTTGGGGGGAGGGGTTCAGGGGCGACCTCAACAAAATGCCCATTTGCCCAGAACAACAACTCCAGTTTGTCCCAAGGTCACACAGCCTGGGGCAGTGCAACCCTCATCAGTGTTGGGACTTGACTGAGGCACCACTTGAACCATGGGTTTGGTCTGTTAAGTTCAGCGCAGCCAGGCAAAGAGCCACGGTGGAAAGAGTCTGGGGCCCCTTCACCTGTGACTTTAGTCCTGCCTGATTCAGCAAGTGGCCCTGATGGAGAGCAACCTGTGACCTAGCACGCCAGGTCGGGGCCATTTGCCCGGCAAACAAGGCCCTTCTCTCTCCCAGCACATCGGCTGCTGACCCACGCCCTGGGCCACACAGCTCTGCCGAGCCTGCTTCTGAGCCTGCTGCTCCTGCCCACGCTGGGCTGGCAGCAGGAGTGCCAGCTGGGTACACTGCGGTTCCTGCATGCCTCCATCCTGCTCGCACTGGCTGCTGGGCTGCTGGCTGTGCTGTTGGCAGTGCTGGGGCTGGCGACTGCCGGTGGCTGCGGGTATATGCCCGTCCACTTGGCCATGCTGGCAGGGCAAGGGCATGACCTCAGGCAGCCCCAAGGGGCGCTGCCACCATGGCTATGGCCATGGCTGCTGCTCGCCTTGACCCCAATGCTCAGCTCTGAGCCGCCCTTCCTGCAGCTCCTCTGCGGTCTCCTGGTTGGCCTGGCCTGTATCCTTTGACTGTGTGGACAGATGGGTTCTGGGGCTGTATCCCTGGGAAGGAAGTGATGTGGCAGGGACAGGGGGATGGGATGGGAGGGATGCAGACCCAAGAAATGCCATGAAGCTGTGTACACCTGTGCAGGAACACTCCTCTCTCTGGGCTGCGAATGGTGGGCTGAAGACCGGGAAGAGGAGCCAAGGACAACTAAGGGGGTTCAGTGGGGAGTCTGTGGCAGCTAGGAAGCTGAGATGACCTGAAGAACCACTAACCAGGCCCATTCTGTGGAAGTGTGTAAGGGAATAGAGGTGAAGTGTGCAGGCCAGGCAGGGGGTAGAGAAAAGCAGGGCCAAGGGTGGGTGTGACCTTGGGGTCTCTGGAAAGTGAGGGGAGTGACCCATGGCCGGCAGGGTAGGTGCAGTTGATGCCCAATCAGGAAAGCCATCGCCATCACCATGGGAGAACTGGCAGAACCCCTATAGTGGTTCTGGCTGTTGCGGGAGGAGCCAGTTTGGGACTGGGAACACCAGCTGCCCTGGGCTGTCTAGGAGGGCTGTGTGTTGGCCAGGCTGGGGACAAAGCAGGTGAGGGCTGGCTGAACATGCCCTGGGCTCAGGCTCTACCTGTCTGCCTTCAGGCAGGTCCCTCTGGTCCTCTCCGAGCCTCCACTGCGAGCTTGAGTGACAGCGCATTCCCTACGGGATCATAGTAAGGAAGACACCCATGTGGCCCCAGGCCTGGCATCCAGGGCAGGCCTATTCTCCCAGCCAGCCAGTTCCGGTTTCCCTTGACCAGGTGCCCTGCCCTGGGCAGACAGATGCCAAGGGGGCCTTCCGGCAGCTGGAGCTGTCAGAGCAGCGACTGCAGGTGCTGCAGGAAAGCTTCCTGTGCAGGACACTGGCTGGCTGCTGGCCACTGAAGCTGTTCCCCGCACCGCGTGGCCAGACTGAACTGCCCGTCACCCAGCCAGCCGGAGTGAGGTGAGGAGGACACTGTGGCCCCTGGCCCTGGAGCTGGCCGCCACGGCCAGCAGTGATCACTCCTGCTTCTGCACCCCTTCCCTCTACCCCAACCTAGGACTGCCATCCCCGGACCTCCTTACGTAGTCTCCCCTAATGCCTGGCCACATGGTGACAACTCGGCCCTGCCGCCAGGGTTGGGGGCTCAGCAGCTGCCCTGGGAGAGCATGGAGTGGGCCAGGCTCGGTTTCTCCCCCGAACCTTCCATGTGGGCAGCCTTGGACGAGCAGATGTTACAAGAGGGGATCCAGGCCTCACTCCTGGATGTGCCAGCCCAGGACCTCCAGGGCACATTCCGGTTGCCCAAGTCCTCAGTGTCATCTCTAAGGTAAGGTGGGTCAGGCAGGAGAGGGGCCCAGGGGAGAGGGTTGGAGGCTGAGGCAGCCCTCACACCCTGTCTGCCTCCCCTTTCTCTGTTCCCCACACCCGGGTCCTCCCAGGTTGCAGCAGCTGGAGCGCATGGGGTTCCCCACAGAGCAGGCAGTGATGGCACTGGCGGCCACAGGCCGCGTGGAGGGGGCCGTGTCACTGCTGGTCGGAGGGCAGGTGGACACAGAGGCCCTAATGACAGAGGACAGGACTGGCTCTGCCTACTCCATGGGCCTCAAGCCCTCCTAGCCCCAACGGAGGGCGTGAACACCGACGATTGTGTGGGTAACAAAGCCAGGTCTGAGGCCAAGTTGCCTTGGCCCCTGCTGTTCCCCAAGGGCCACAGAAGACCACCCTGGTACTTGTTTCAAATAAACACCAGCCTATTTTTCAAGCCAGACCTCCTTGGAGGCAGCACGTGTGTCTGGTTCTTCTGTTGGTGTCAGGGGGTGAATGAATGAGTGAGCGATGAATGAATGATGGTGGCTTCTTGCTGTCTGGAGATGCAATGTTCCTGCCACTGCACTGGTGTGGCCTCTTCCTCAAGGAAGCCATGTGATATGGCACCGGCCTGGACCCTCTGCCAGGGAGTGTCCGGCTTAATTCAGCTCATCTTGGGGCCCCCTTAGCTGCCCCCATTTAAGTACACACCGAGATCGGGCTGGGTGGGACTCGGGCCGGGGGCCTTTATTGGCCAGCACGCGTCAATCTCCCAGAGTCTGCCACCAGCATCCATGGTAGCAGGCAGTCCCTTTCTCATGGTGGCCCCACCCCCTGACCAGGGTACCAGTTGGGGGAAGGGGGCTCAGGAGGCAGAAGTGAAGCAGGCAACACCCCTCTGTTTATCTGGGATGAGGCAGCCTGACCTCAAGTGAAGCCAGCACCAGAAACGGGAGTAGGAGTGCAGCAAGACACCCCAGATTTGGGGAGGAGGAGGGCAAGGTAGAGCTCCGGTGGTCACACTCCCCGCCTTGGTGGTTCAGGCAGCTGACACCAAGGAACCTCATGTTCCTATCCCACCCTGCAGACCTACCTCGGCCCATCCCGCGCAGGGCACCTGAGGCCCGCAGCCCCTGAGCATGGCCACACCTCCAGTCCGGGCCGCCACCTTCCTCCCGGGCCCTACTCTCTACCTGGCATGTCAGGACCATGCCTATCCATTAAGGGACCCTGAGTCCTTGAATAAACACAGCGTGGTCCCTGGAGGCAGCTGGCCAAGGCCAGGCAAGCGAGGGAAGCTGGCCTGGTCCATCCAACAGGGGGCTGCGCCGCTTTCACCCTCAGCCCTTCTCATTCCGACTCCTTGGGGCCACAATCCGGTAGCTGGCTGCATGTCCTCCCCTCTTGCCCCGAAGGAGGCTGGGGGCACCCATGCCAGCAGGGCCTGCCCCGGAGCCCAGCTCTGGTTCTGCCAGAGGAAAGGAGGAGAAAAGGCATGTTAGGCGGGTGTCGGGGAGATTGTGGGGTGTCCTCTGTCAGGTTCAGTCCTCCCTCCATCCCATCCTGATGTCTGGGGAGGCAGGGCTGCATCTACACAGTGCCCATGACTGCCCAGCCTGGTTGGGAGTACTCAGGATCTCCTCGTGGCCCCCCAATCCACCTTGCACCTGGCACACGGCGAGGGTTCCACAACCAGCCTAGTTTGTTCTCTTTTCATCATGGGTGAAGGTATACCAGGCTTTCCTGACTTTGCAGCTGGGTAAACTGAGGCTCTCTTTGGGGGTGGGAGTAGGGTCCCAAAGCAAACTGGACTCCAGGGAAGAGAGGGATCATCTGGTGGGGAGAACCCCCCGGACAGAGGCCAAGGCTTGTGCCTGCAGAAGCCCTGTTCCCAGGGCAGCACATACTAGCTGTCCCCAGAGGGTGCTGGGCCACAGTCTCACTTCCAAGTGCCCTGACCCAGGGTGCCCTAGGCTCACTCCTGGAGCAGATAGGCACAGTGTGGTCCCACTGTGCATCCTACATCAGGGTGCACGAGAGGGGGAATTATCACACGGAGCTCCGTGGCCTTGGATGTGGAGGTGATACCCCCATTGCCACAGCCCTTGGAGCAAGCATGTGGCACATGAGCCAGAGCGAAAGGAGGTGTTCACAGTAAGGGCTGGGCTACTACCAGGTTGACGTGGCTTTAGCCCTGGTGTCCCACAGGCCTGTTCCCAAAGTGGTCACAGGCTGCCTTGGTGACTACTCCACATGGGGGTCCTGGGTTTTGCTGATGGAATCCAAACACAGTGCTTTAACGCACGGTTCTGGGGTAGACAGACCCCAACTCTACCCCACCCCCCACCTGCTGGCCTTCCCGTTGCCGGCGCTGGAGGCCTCTGTGTGTTCATCTGAAAAGTGGGCTGGTGTTGCCTAGTGCAGGGATGGGAGACAATCGAGTGACTCCTCAGGCCAGGTGTGACACCTATTACTGTTCACGTGAGCACTGCTGAGACTACACGTAGGTACTACCCAGTCTTCAGTCATAAGCACCTGATGGCTACCTGGGTCAGTAGGGCAGGTCCCCTTCTCCTTCCCTCCCCACCTCCACCCTGCACTGGCTCCAGGGGGGCCCCTCTTCCAGGCCTGCAGGCTCTGGCACCTCCTCCCTAGGATCTAGTCACTGGGGCCTGTAGAAGTTGGGAGGCCAGGTGGTGCGGTGGGAGGGCTCTGGAAGCAGACTTGCTTGAAAAGCCAGGAGACTCCACCCACGCAGCGTGCTCCAAGAGGGGGTAGCCCCTTCTCACACTCCACACACCTAGGACCTGATGTTAAGTGTCCCTTCTCCCAAGATGACCTCTGCCACCCCCGGTGACTGCTCCTCTTTCCCACCTGAGCCCCTCCAAACGCTTGAGGAGGGCTCCAGTCTGCACCCCGCATGCAGGATGCTTGGCTCAGACCTTGACCTCTTCCAGCCTGGCACCCCTGTTTTTCATGCTGCATAAGAGGTGATGGTCGGACTTGATGAAGACTGCATCAAGGGTGCCTGCTGCCTACCCCTGGTGTGGCCAGTTCCTTTCTCTAGCTGGGGCTGGCACCAGTTCCAATTTGAGGAGGAAAAGAAGTCTGCATAGTGTCACTTCCAGGAATCAGGTGCAGGGAAGGGGTTACCGCCCGTGCTGATATGCAGCCTCCTCCAATGCCATCCCAGTCAGCTTCAACTGGGTCCTCAGACACTGAGGCCCTGGGCTTTTCCTCTGCCCATCTGGCCTCCAGATACCCTTTCAGTTTCCGCTTTAGACATCCCCTCCATGGAGCCCTCCTGCCCCTGAAATGGCCCCTTCCCCATCTCCTTTGGGCCACAGGCACTTCCAGGTTCTCATGATGGCCGCCACTGCCTGTCCAGGCTCTGCTGTGGGCCAGCCCCCAGTGCCCGGGGCAGCGTCTATCTCCCAGGGTCAGTGCCTTGTGCCAGCAAGGTGGAACTGTTTACTCGCAGGCCAGTTCCTGGAGCCTGCCCTGTGTAGGCAGTGGCTGCTGGCTGGAGTGAAGATGGATGAAGGCTGGGGTGTCCGTGGCCTGGGCCAGGCATCAGGAGGTGCCTTCTTCTGTTGGCCCTTCCTTGTAGGGGCTGCCCTTGCCTGGCTGCCCTGCAGTTACCTGGCCAGATGGTGGCTTCCTGCAGGGTGACCCAACTGGCCAAGAGCTCCAGCCGGGCCTGCTGCTACAGGAAGCTGTGTAAGCTAGGGGCATGAGGGGAGTGGAGAAGAGGTATGAGGCTGGCTTCCGGGGGCTGGGTTGGGCTGGGACGCTGGGCTTGGAGCTCCAGAGAAGCATGGGGGGATGAATCTCCTAAAGTGGGGACCAAGCTTCTCTGGCTCCACGAGTGGCTGGGTATGTGGGGGACTTGCTGGCTGAATGCTGGCAGGGAGGGCCTGTCCCTCTGGAATGCTCCTGAAGGACAGGCAGGTTGGTGGTAGTGAGAGGACCAAAGGGGGAACAGCAAGAGAGATGCTTGGAGAACAGGAGAGCCTGCCCTGGGAGAGCCTTTAGGGGCCTACAGGAGAGCATGGTCACAGCAGGTAGGTGCCCTGGGTGCCTGAGCCTGTTACCCATCGTCCCTTGCCCTTTTGGAGTCCAGCCCCTAGTGACCTGGAGAAAGGCTCTGGCCACCCACGATTTCTTTATAGAGCTGAAGCCTAAATGGAGTTTGGATCCACTACCCACAATTCTCCCTGGGGGAGTGGAGTCTGACTTCATTACCCACAATCCTCCTGGAGGCCTGTGTTTTGACTTCATTACCCACACTCCTCTGTGCTGAGGGAGCTTGGCTCTGTTCCTTACAATCCCATGTTTGGTTCCATTGCCCCTAATGTCTTCCAAATTCAGAACCTGTCATCTCTGGTTCCCCACAGGTCCGAGAATACACAAGTCACCATGACCACGGCCCCAGTTCCCAGGGCCCCCTCATCCTGTCAGCTATGGCAGAGGGGGACAGTGATTGAGGACAGGTGGTCCTGGTCTCTCAGCCCCACACCTGCCCAGCCAACAGCTCCTGGGCCTGGTGGGCTCAGGCCATTTCCACCAGAGAAGGGCAGCTGGGGGAAGGCAGGCAGGGGCTGGGCAGGCTGTCCATCTGTCTGTCTACTCACCATAGAGGCCAATCATTGTTTCCAAGATTAAAACCCTCTCAGCTAAAATCTTCAAAGCTTCGCGCAGCTGGTGCAATCCCTCCCCCTGTAGAGGAAACAGACAGATGCAGCCATGAAGGGGGACCTGAGGAGGGGGCCTGCCCCACCCCACTCCCCACCCGGGGACAGGGAACATGCATCCGCAGCCCAGGGCCCCGGGGACAAGCCAGAACAAGACCGTGGGGTGGACAGGATGGGGACCAGGCAGGCGGTAGTTGTCCTGAAGGACCCCTCCCTCAGAAGGGCTGGGGAGCTCTGGCTGACTGCTCCCCGCCAATGCTGTATGGTGTGCCCTCACATGACCCGCCACAGCCTGTAACCTCTGTGACCCACTCCCCCCCACCATGCCACCTCTGCTGTTTGTTCCTTTTTTTGCCTTCTAAGTAAGTAGCATGGTGGCCTCATCCTACTGAATCTCACTGGTGACATCCACCCCCTTTAGGTGGTGGGGAGGGGTAGTCTCCACACAATCTAAGTCGAACTGGAGAGCATGTGAAGGCGCCCAGGCCCACACCCCTTCTCTTCCTAGGTTCCCTTGGCCCTTAGTCCCATCCGGCTAGGCCCACTCCAGCAGGTGCCCAGGGCCCCACCCTCAGCCCAGCCCCAAGCAGTGCTGGGTTGAAGTTCCATGTCTCTGGCTCCTACCCCTCTCCTAGCTCTGGAGCTCCCCATACTCCCCAGGTGGTAGAAGCAGCTGCTGTCCACCCACCAGCAGCATTCACCTTCACTTCCTCCCCCGCCCCACTCCCAGTGTGTGTGTGTGTGTGTGTGTGTGTGTGTGTGTGTGTGTGTGTGTGTGTGTGTGTGTGTGTGGTGGGGGGGTCTGGCCAACATCCGGTTCTCCTTCATGCCTTCCTTTTTCTGCTCTGGACCAAAGCTCTTTGTCCAGCGCAGGTGTCTCGGTTCCAGGAACTCTATCTGGGTTTCTCACATGGGTAACAGGAGCCCAAATACTTAGGCCATCTTCCACTGTATTCCCAGGCACATTAGCAGAGAGCTGGATTGGAAGTGGAGCACCAGTACTCCAATATGGAATGTTGGTGCCAGAGGTGGTGGCTTAGCGCACTGTGCCACAACATTGGCCTGGCCACAGGAGATGCTCACTAAGGTGTCAGGGGTGAGTGTGCATGAAATTTGCAGCTTACTTTCAAATGAATTATGGGGAGAATCTACAGAGAGCTTTATATAGAGATGGCAAGTGTGGCGAAGCACTAACAATTAGTTCATGTGGAAAGTGGCCAGGAAGGTATCAGATCATTGTTTTTTTTTTTCTTTGTAGATAGCATAATTTCCAAAACAAAAATCTGGGGGAAAGGATATGAACAGCCACTACGGTGCGCTCCCAGCTGGCCAGCCCCAGGCCCCGGAGATCTGAGCCTGCAGTCTCCTGGGTCCACCACCCGGCTGTAGCAGGCATCACCCATTTCTCTGTGGACAGAATTCAGCATGGTTCTTTGTTCAAAAAAAAATTTTTTTTTGAGAGAAAGCTCCCAGTTGCTGGTTCACCTTCTCTCCCTGCACCCTAAAATGTATGTGATGGCCAAGGCTGGGCAGGAATGAAGTCAGGAGCCAGGAACTCAATCCTGCTAAATGTGCACAGGAATGGCAGGGACTTCCTGCCTCCCAGCGTGCATGTTAGCAGGAAGCTGGACTTGGGAATGGAGCCAGGACTCAACCAAGGCCCTCATTCCTTCTGACCCTCACGTGTTGATGTGAAGTCTTCCCTGCCCTGTAGAAGCCAAGCGGGCACCCAGGTGTCTCCCAGCTTCACATCTGCCTATTTCTCTGTCTGTACTCTAGCAATCTCTCTAGCCTCGGTCACACCCCAAGCTCACCCCAACTTCAGGGCCTTTGCACACCCAGTTCCCACTCCTTTCCCACAGACCTACCCCCGTGCCTGGCTGATGAATGCTCCCTGCCCCCCACCTGCCAGGGCTGAACTTTCCTTCTCTATGGCACTGTGAGCCTACCCCACTCCACCCCGCCCCAAGGTCTGAATCACAACTACGTACGTACACAGGGTCCAGCCTCTCCTCCAACCACCCAGGTGAGAGGTTCTTAAGAGAATAATAGGAGTTTTTCCGGCTTTGGGAGCTTCAAAGCTTGGCCTGTAGTTCCAGTTGTGCCAAGGCTTCACTCTCCCAAGGAAGGCCTTGGCGTCCCATCCCAGTAAAGCAATCTATTGGGACTGGCTCAGCCCGTGCACTGCAGTGCATGCTACTGTCCACCAGGTGTCAGTACTGAGCCACTCACGCTGGCGTCTTAAGAGCAGTCTAGGTGAAGGTGGACCCTACCAGCACCTGCCTGCAGCCCCCAAGTGTCAAGCAACCCTGAGCCCAGCAGGCCCCCTCCTAGACAGGAAGTGCAGGTAAGATGCTTGGGGTGGAAGGCGGATAGGCAGGGGCCCTGCTACTTCTTGGAGCAGGGGCGGGTTCCTCCTATATGTGGAGACAAAAGTTTAAGTTGGCTCTGGGTAGCCGGGCACAGCCTGGTCCCCAGGTAAGGACAGGACATTGCAACCTAATTTGGCCTTGACCTTACCTCTTACTACCCCCCCCAGCATAGTGGTGGGAGTGGGGGTTAGGTGGGGAAAAAAGTGTTCTTAGCTGGGGTTTGTGTGTAGTGGGGGGGAGGGGGTGGTCTCTGGGAACAGAGAGAGGCCCAGGGCAGGAAAAGGGGCGGGCTCACACCTTTACCTGGCCCCAGCTCGGCTCATTGCCATCCTATGTGGGGGAGTCACAGACGAGAGGTGCCTGGGTGTGGGGGCAGAGAGGGAGCTGGGCCCCAGAAGCCTTGGGGAAACTCAGGGGGTGGAAGAGAACTCATGCATGCATGGTTGGGGGCTCCCCAGCTGTATCCATCATTGACCACACAATCAAGAACAGAAAGGGCCAGGTAGGTGCCTACACCCTCTGCTTAGGTGGCTGCCTGCAAGTAGGGAGTTCCATTCAGAATGCAGGGACTCCGTGGAGGTGGGACTGTGGCCCACCCACTGCGGCCCATTGTCCCTGTGCAGTGGGATTTGGGAACATGGGGTGCTCTGGGATCCTAGCCCTTCCCCCTCTACCTGGTATTCTCTCAGGTCAACAGCTTCCTAGGCCCTCAAGTGCATCCCCCCTCCAGCTCTCTCCAGGGAATGCAGAGGTTTCTCGGGTCTCAATGTGGATCATAGAATCCTGGGGCACACAGTGCCTAGGTCCCTCCCTTCATCAGTGCCTCTCCGTCTTCTCCTGGGCTGCTTCTCCTGTGTGTACAGTGGCGTCTAGGGCTGTGGGAATTGCGGGTTCAGGGTGGCATGCTCCTGACCCTGTTCACCTGGCAACAATGTGTGCATAACGGGCAAGACCTTCCCTGCCCCATGCCTCATGGCTTCTGTGTGTGTGTGCAGTGGGGTCCGGCCTCCAGTCTACCTGCTTGGTTTGAGCTCCCCATCCCTCCCCAGCACCCCGCTGTGAGCCACAGACTTCCCTAAGGGTCCCCTGACCCATTCTCAGATGCGAAAACTGAGTTCATACTCCTCTTCCTCCCACAGGATGGGGAACAGAGGCCACGTGGTGCTTTCTGGGAGGAGCTCCAGGGGCACAGTATGGCTCAGGGCAGCCAAAGCCGCCCAGAAGGGGCACAGGCAGAGCCGGACTGGAGGATGGGCAGAGGGAAGATAGGGTGGGGATGACAGGGACCGAGCCGGAGAGCACTGGGGCGGGAGGTATGTCTGTTGCTGACAGTTCCTGAGCTCCACCCCTGTATGGCTGGGAGTGGCAGGTGTGCTGAGAGGACCCAGGCTCCTGCCTGGGAGCCCAGGGTGCAGTTGGGGGGTTGGACAGGGCAGGAGAAGGTAGTAGGAGAGGGGGAGGCCAGAGCTGAGCCAGGCCAGAGCTTACCCAGTGGCTTTTCTCGCCAGGGTCTCCCTTGGGGCCAGGGTCACCCTGTAAAAAGAACAATGAAGGAAGAGAGGGGAGGGTTTGGGAGGGAATGTGTAGGCTTGGGAACAGTTTGAGTGCATCCCCATAAAGGTGTCCAGTGAGGTGGGGCCCAGGGTACATGATGGCGTCATGGGGGCTCCTCCCCTTGACTGGTCACAGAGAGGTGGGCTGTGATGGGGAGAGCAAGTGTGGCTCTGAGGCTAGCCTGTCCCTCCAGCTCCCGGACTGACCTGTGTGTCCCTGTGACAGTGTGAGGCACCTGCCATGAGGCCTGCCTGATCTGAGGCTGGACCCACAAGGCCATCCATCAGACTTGACCCCAGGGATTTTATGACAGAGAACAGTGTGAGAAAGGGATGAAGAGTCATGGTGGGGAGGGAGGGAGAAACAGAGACACCGAGAAGCAGGCCCAGGGCGACTTGTCAGGCACTGACACTGGATGGAAAAGCAGAAGGCAACGGTTTCAACGATGTGAAAAGCAAAGAGAGCAGGCAGGCACTGGAAACACAGAACTACATGGGGCAAAATTCAGTCAGGCCAGTGTGATGGCTCAACTGGCTAATTCTCCACCTACAAGTGCCAGGATCCAATATGGGTACCGGCTCGTGGCCCAGCTCTTCTACCTCCTATCCAGCTCCCTGCTTGTGGTTTGGGAAAGCAAGTGGAGGATGGCCCATCCTCAGATGAGCTCAGCTCCAGCTGTGGAGGCCACTTGGGGAGTGAATCATCGGGTGAAAGATTTTTGTCTATCTTCCTCGTTGTAAATCAAACATTTCTCCAATTTAAAAAAAAAATTAAAATCAACATATTCCTAGATATTGGTGAATATTAGTGAATATATCTGAAAGGTAAAAAGAGAGAAAGAGAGATATGCCATCAGTTGGTTAATTCCCCAAATGTCTGCAATGTCAAGGACAGGGCCCAGCCAAAGCCAGGAGCCAAGAATGCCATCCAAGTAGGGGGACCCAATACTTGAGCCACAATCTACTGTGCACAGAAGCAGGAAACGCGAGTGGAAGCAGGACTTGAACCCAGGACCCTCTGCTGCTGAGCTCTCAGCCTGACACACAGCCCTCAGGGCGAAGCCTGGGGTTAATATTGGAGAGAAGGGCCAGAAGACAGGGAACAGAATCAGCACGGGTCCCTGCTCTGACAGCAAGCTAACATGCGGCTCTGAAGACTATCTTCCAAAGCTGAAAGACAGAGAAAAGCTGGATAGAAGAAAAACAGAAAATAGCCCAGAGCTGCTGGGCAACTCCGAGAGGTGGGCACATGCAGCCTGAGAAGAGAAGGCGGGAAGGAAAGCGACTGCTTCTGAAGTCAGGACGAGTGGGCATTTTCTCCATCTACACGAACCACCAAGGAAGCTCCAAGAACATCGTGCAGGGCTAATGCAGAGAAACACTACACCCAAGAGGAACATGCTCAATGTCATATTCATGGCAGATTCAGACTTCAGCTAATCAAAGATGAGGTACTGACAGGCCTGGCACAATGGCATAGTGGCTAAAACCTTGCCTGGCATGCCCGGGATCCCATATGGGCACCAGTTCATGTCCCAGCTGCTCCACTTCCCATCCAGCTCCCTGCTTGTGGCCTGGGAAAGCAGTCGAGGACGGCCCAAAGCCTTGGGACTCTGTATCCACGTGGGAGGCCCGGAGAAGCTCCTGTCTCCAGATTAGTTCAGCTCAGCCATTGTGGACACTTCGGGAGTAAATCAGCCAACACAAGAGCTTTCTCCCTTTCTCTGTAAATCTGCCTTTCCAATAAAAATAAATAAATAGTTTTAAAAACTCAAAGTTCTAAATATAGCAATTGAAAGATGGTGGAATGGAGGTTTGGTCTAACAGCTAGCCTGTCAAACAGGACCTTTGGCTCTAGTGAGTGGGTTTGAATCTCAGCTCTGCTCCTAATTCTAGCTTCCTGTGGGTCATCCACACGGGAGACCAATATTGAGTTTCTAGTTTCTGGCACTAGCCTCACCCAGTCCTGGCTGTTGCAAGTATTTGGGACTGAACCAGCAGCTGAAAGATCACTCTGCCTTTCAAACACATTTACATTTTAAAAAATTAAGATGTACTTATCTTTACTTGAAAGGCAGAGTTACAGAAAGAAGGAGAGACAGAAAAATCTTTCATCTGCTGGTTCACTCTCCAAATGGCAGCAAGGGTTGGAGCTGAGCTCATCTCAAGCCAGGAGCCAGGCAGGAGTTCATTCTGGGTCTCCCACATGACTGCAGTGTCCCACGGCCTTAGGCCGTCCTCCACTGCCTTCTCAGGCTTCAAGCAGGGAGCTGGATCAGAAATGGAGTTGCTGGGACTCAAACCAATGCCCATATGGGATGCACGTGGAAGATGAGCCAACTGAGCCACAGAGCTGGCCCCACATTAAAAAAAATAATAATAGTACTTCAAAGATGAGGATTAGGGTCTACGTGATGGCCCAAGTGGCTAGTAAAATAAACGCTGGGCCCCTGAAGTTGGAAACTTTAATACTTGCCTATCACAAATGGGCAGAGAATCGGTCAGGACGGGGTTGAACTCAACCCCACGGTCAGTCAAGTGGACATAACTGACACTCATGGCTTACTTCATCCCGCAGCAAATTAAACCTTCTCAGGTTGACGCGGAACATCCACCAAGACAAACCACACCCTGGCCCGTAAGACACAACACAACATCTTCAAAATAACACAAATTGTACCACCTGTGCTCTGAGGCCACAGTGGGATTAAACCAGAGATCAATGACAGAAAGACAGCCAGAAAATTCTAAAATACTTGGAGATTCAGCAACACATGTCTAAGCAACACACACATGACAGAATGAATCTTGAGAGACATTTTAAAATATACTGAATAAGTAAAAATGAAAAACAGCACATTTTGTGGCACATGGTAAAAGGAGTGAATGCGTTTAAGGAAACGAGAGACTTATCATTGATGCCAGCATCTCATACCAGGGTACCAGTTGCTCTGCTTCCTGTCCAGCCCCCTGCTGACGGCCCTGGGAAGGCACTCAAAGACAAGTCAAATACATGGGCCCCCGCACCCGCCTGGGAGTCCCAGATGCAACTCTAGGTTCCTGGCTCTGACCAGCCCTGGCTGGGGAGTGAACCCAACAAATGAAAGATCTTGTTTTATCCCTCTCTATATATATTGCTCTTTCAAAAACAAAACAAGAAAAAAAAAAAAACTCTAGACAACAAAACAAGAACCTTCCTCCCCAAGCCACGGGACAGCATGGTACACCTGCTACAACAGTCAGAACACAGCACGGTGACCACACGCAAGGCTGCAAGCTACAGGAACCCCTGTTCGTGCCTGCTGAGTACACAGAACGGTAGGGGCACTGGAGAAGGTTGGCTAGCAGTCTCCCACAAAACTGAACATACCCTTGGTCCAGCAGTTGTACTCACTGGTATTTACCCAAAGAAACTGAAAACCCACGTCCACACAGGAAGACAGGGGTGCCTATAGATGTTTGTAGAAACTTTACTTGTAATTGTCAGAAATTTGAAGCAACCAAGACAAACTACAGATACACTGCAGTCCACCCACATCATGGAATATTACCAGTGCTTCAAAAAAAAAAAAAAAAATCAAGGTCTTGGGCCCGGTGCAGTAGCCTAGTGCCTAAAGTCCTTGACTTGCATGCACTGGGATCCCATATAGGTGCTGGTTCTAATCCCGGTGGTTCTGCTTCCCATCCAGCTTCCTGCTTGTGGCCTGGGAAAGCAGTCGAGGATGGCCCAAAGGCTTGGGACCCTGCTCCCACGTGGGAGACCCTGAATAGGTCATAGCTCCTGGCTCCTGCTCAGCTCCTGCCGTTGCAGTCACTTGCGGAGTGAATCATCAGATGGAAGATCTTCCACTCTGTCTCTCCTCCTCTCTGTATGTTTGCCTTTCCAATAAGCTAATCCTCTGCCCTGTGGTGCCAACATCCCATATGGACACGTTTTAGTCTTGGCTGTTCCAATCCAGCTCTCTGCTTGGCCTGGGAAAGCAGCAGAGGATGGCCCGAGTCCTGGGCTTCCTGCACCTGCGTGGGAAAGCTGGAAGAAGCTCCTGGCTTCCAGGTTTGGATCAGCTCAGCTCTGACCACTGAACCAGCAGACAGAATATCCTTTTTTCTCCTCTCTCTCTCCCCTACTCTGTAAAATCTGCCTTTCAAAAAAAAAAAAAAGTCATGGGAAGACGTGGAGTGATTTAAGAGCCAGCATCGTGGTACAGTGGGTAAAGGACACTGGCATCCTGTAGGGACACTGGTTTGTGTCCTGTCTGCTCCACTTCTGATTCAGTCTCCTGCTAAGGTGTCTGGCGTTTGGGAACACAAAAGACGGCGGCTCACTTGGACCTCTGCGATCCGTGTGGGAGACAGGATAGGCCCCTGACTTCAGCCAGCTCTGCCTGCTGCAGCCATCTGGGGAGTGACTCAACAGGTGGAAGAGTCTCTCTCCCTTTGCAACTACATCTTAAAATACACTTATATAGGTATGGAGATATCATTCATAAGACGAAGCTTAAAAAGCTGATCTGAAAAGACTGCTGTATAATTCCAATTCTATGACAAAATGCAGATCAGGAAGGAAGGGAATGGTAAACAAGGCAAGCACAGAGGACTTCTGGGGCAGTGAAATCATTTTGAAAAGACAGTGCGGGTGCGAGACGATGTGTTTCAACACCTGCAGAAGGAATGTCCAGCATCGAGAATGAACCCCGAGGACAGTGGAACCTGGGTGACACTGATGTGTCTGCACGGATCCACCGTGTGTAATGAATTCACCGGCTGCAGGCGTGGGCAGTGTGGGAGACACCGCACCTGCGTGGGGACAGCAAACTCTCCAACTTCTGCTGATGTTGACTGAGAACCTAAAACTGTTCGAAAATGACCAATGAGCTCACAAACCAGACAGAAGAACCAACAAAAACAACATGCGTCACACAATGTCACTGAACCACAGCAGGATCCACGTTACATATCATCCTCGGGAGATGCACTTTGAACACAGACGCACAAACAACTTGAGAGGAAAAGGATCGAGAAGAATAAACGGTGCAGAATGCAGACATCAAGACAAAAAAGCCGGTGCAGCCACTTTCAATAGCAAACCAAGCAGAACTCAAGGAGTAAAGTCAGATTAAAAAAAGAGAGACATTAAGATCCTAAATGTGCACACACCTAACTACAAAGCCTCAAAATACAGGGAGCAAAGACTGACTTGGGGCTGGCGCTATAGGAAAGTGGGTAAAGCCACTGCCTGCCAGTTCCAGTATCCCATATGGGCACCAGTTGGAGAAGTGGCCTCTTCACTTCTGATCCAGCTCCCTAATCATGAGGCTGGCAAAGCCGCAGAAGGTGCCCCAAGGGCTTGGTCCTGGCATCCAGACCCTGAAGCAGCTCTGGGCTTTGGCCTGGCCGTACCCCAGATGTTGCAGCCATTTGTGGAGTAAGAAGACATGGAGAGTTGAAAATACAGATGTACAAAGCCAAAAAAACTGACATATTGGGGGTGGGGGGGGTGGGGAGGGAGACAGAGAGACAAACAGGGAAAAAGATTCAGAACCACAAGGGGCCAGGGCGAACTGATCCTAAACAGATAATGGGTCCACTGGGAGAACACGGAGCTCTCCTGGACCAGTCAGGGAGTGTTAGGGGTTCTGATCACAGGGAGTGGGTGCAGAGCAGGGGCCTGGGCCTGCAAGATCTCAGACACATCACTTACCCGCTGCCCTTCAGAGCCCTGGGGGCCAGGCTCTCCACGCGGTCCCTGTACGGAAGGGAGAAGAGAAGTAGAGCTAGCTGTTAGGCATGGGGTCGGGTAGGGCTCCGGCTGGAGTTCCCCAGTGCTCCCCAAAACCCCTTCTTCCCCACATGAGACCACTGGGTACTCACCCTCTCACCCTTCTCGCCTGGGTGGCCTGAGATCCCTTTGGGTCCAGTAGGGCCTGGGGGTCCCTGAAGGATAAGACGGAGCCTCAGCCTGGGGCTGCAGTAGGATGAAGTAGGCACGGGGTCTAGGAGGAGGGGGTGGGGAGGGGACCCTGGCTTGGCCGGGTGCTCTGGGGCTCTTGACCACCCTCTGGTATGCAGCCGGCAGTTCGCGCAGCTCACTGGTCAGACACAGACTCGGAGCTGGGTGGCCTCAGCCTGAGCTGCATGCTGCCATTTGATGGACACAGTTCCAGGCCAAGTGGCTCCATTCTCTTGGTGTTAGGCAATAACAATACTGGGTTCTTGTCACAGGAACTGAATGGGAAGATTTGTGGCAAGCAGCTTGCTTATGAAATGCTCAATAAGTACTCAATGAGTGAATAAAAAAGAGCGATGGATAGACGGACAGTCAAACACAGATGCAAAACTCACCACGCGTCCAGGACTTCCAGGGGCACCTGTGGGGCCAGGAGGTCCAGGGGGACCTGAAATAAGACAGGATATCCTCAGGGCCACAGCAGGATGCAAGGTCAGGAAGTCCCCCTTCATTCTGACCACCCAGGCCCTCTGTCATCCATCCATTCCAGCCCTTGCCCAAGCCTGGATTCAGCTTACCAATGGGTCCTGGGGCACCTGGGGGTCCAGCAGGTCCCTGAGGCCAGCGGCTGCCCGTCTCAGTGAAGGTGTTAGACAGGAATGGGTCCCCTGGGAGAGAACAGATGGGGAACAGGCAGAGCTGGGAAGAGTGTGTTTTTACCTGCTCCCTCTGCTCAAAGCTCTGAGTGCACCACGGGGTATCCACAGGTCCATTGCAGACCAGGAGGTGGGGAGCACGTGGAGGCAGGAGCTCTGACCCAGGCAACAGTCTAGTGGGTAGCATCCTGCAAGACTTATGGTACCTGCAGTGTCACCTGATAAAGCCAGCATCTGTTGAACACCCACAGTGCGCTTGGCTTCAGGATGCGGGTGTCAGAGTTTGAGGGGGCTGGAGCTGTCACTCCCTGCTGGCTAGAGACGAAGGAAGCGAGACTTGGAGAGGGACGGTGATGTGCAAGATGGAATGGATACAACAATGAGTGGAGGGTACAACCTGGACTGAAGCCGGCTTGCCCCACAACCCTGACCCCTGGTGGTAGAGGGAGGCCGAGGACATTTACCTGGGCTTTGAGTACAGCGTGAGGGCTGCGGCTCTGGCAAGGTGTGGCCTGCTTGGGACTTCCGGGCACCAGCTCAAAGCTTGCAGAGGGCCTAACCCACCCCTGGTGGTCCCAAGCGCTTGAGTTTGAAGCCAGTCCCCTACAACCTCAGTGGTGTACTCCAGGAACATGACCGCTCTCTGGGCCTTGGCCCAGCACAACTAACATGGCACTATGGTGACGGCTACCCTAGCCCCATTCATTGCTACCTCAACTTGCCGGGTGACCTAAAGGGGACTTACCATCCTGAGAGATGCGGGCATGTGGTGGCCCGACAGGGGCTGGGGGCCCAGGAGGGCCAGGAGGGCCTGGCAGGCCTGGAGGGCCTCTTTCTCCAGGGGTCCCCGCAGCTCCAGTCTGGCCGGGGCTCCCTGGGGGACCCTGTGGACCTGCAAAGGGGTCATAGGCGAGAGTACAAGAGGCAGGGTGGCCCAGAGCGGCCACTAGGGGGCAGCATGGGGATGAGGGGGAGCCCCACCTGCCCTTTTAGCAGCTTGTTAGATAAACTCAGCATCCTGGTCAGGCTGGTTGGCTCTTTCCTTGGCTCTTCTATCTCCCCAATTCCACACCTTCCCATTCCCCCCACCCCTACCGTAAGAAGCCCCAGTCCCATGGAGTAGTGGTCCAGGCTACTTCTTCTGTAGCTCCTCCTTCCCGCATGCAGTCTAGGAGCTCTAGAGAGGGCAGGGACTGGAGTGACCCCACCCCAGCACCCAGGTCTGAGCCGGGGGGGGGGGGGGGGGGGGCGTGGGGGGGGGAGGGGAGGAGCCGGGGTTCAGGGAGAGGGAGGGAGTGAGCAGAGAGCCAGAGTGAGAATGCGGCTAGCAGGTGGATGGGCCCAGGTCACACTGACTGTCAGGGCTGGCAATGCTGACCTCACCTAGGTGAGAGGGGTGCAGGAATAGGTGGGGGTCTGCGGTCACTCACCTGGAGGGCCTCTCATCCCTGTTGGGCCCCGGCTGCCAGCATCTCCCTTGGGACCGGCGGGGCCAGGCAGCCCCCGAGCACCAACTCGGTCTGGGGACAAACAAGGCACATGAGGTGGGTAGCTCCAGATGTGTTCCCGCCCCCTGTCCAGCCCGGCCCCCTTCCTGTCCCCTGAAGTATGTACCATCTCGCGGAAGCAGTGGGGCCCTCAGGTTCTGGCCAGCTCCTGGCAGCTCTAGGGTTGGGAGGATATGCAAGGGGTCAGTGTCCCTGCTGGGCCTTGGGGGAGGGGTCTGTGCAGACCTCCCCTTGGACCCATTACAGAGATGGGAAGGCCGAGACCCACCAGGGTAGGGGAAGAGTCAAGCTGTGAGTTCTTAGATCCCAATCTCCCTACCCCCACTGCCATGCAGAGCTCACCCCTACAGGACAGTGGGGTCTGCACCTGCCCGGCTCACCTCGGTGGCCTCCATCTCCAGGGCTGCCCTGGGCAGCTGGGGAGCCCCAGAGTGGGGCAGGGCCTTCAGGGACAGCCGGGGTTGGGGGCACTGCCCGCTCAGAGATGGTCAGCACGGCCACCTAGACATGGGGAATACAGGGAAAGGTCATGTTGACTGAGGGGTACAGTGTGGGTGGCAGGAGCTGAGCCTGGGCCGGCAGGGGCACCACACCAAGTGAATGTGCCCAAACTTGTTCTTGGTTCTGGCACAGTCCCCTGGGGTCAGGGCTGCAAGAATTCTTGCCCTGGGTGCACTTGGGAGAGTGCACCGAGCATAAGAAAGGCTGAGAAGTTAGTGGAGGACCCCCTTGGAGGGCCAGGGGACGGGGATCCATAGGACTCTCCCCAAGAGTCGAGTTCTGTCACCATGGATGTACACTGCCACCCTGCCCTTGCCCCCTCGTCCACTGTCTTCATCTTAGATCTCCAAGGGAGGGGCAACGGGGCTAAGGATCTTCAGACCAAGTGTACCCAGGGCAGGACCCAGGGCAGGCGCTGGCACAACACTTGGCACCTCTGCATCCCACATGCGAGCACCTGAGTTAGGATCCACTTTCAATCCAGTTCCCTGCTAATGCACCTGGGAGGCAGTAGGATATGACTTAAGTCTTTAGGCCCCTGCCACCTCTGTGGAAAACCCTGAAGAAGCTCCAGGGTTCTGGCTTCAACCTGGTCCAGCCCCAGCTATGGATGCTATTTGGAGAGTGAACCTGTGGATGGAAGGCTTGCTCTTTCTCTGTAACTCTACCTTTCAAATAAACCAATCTTTAAAAAACTAAAACATGGGGCCCAGTGCAGTGGCCTACTGCCTAAAGTCCTTGACTTGAATGTACTGGGATCCCATATGGGTGCTTGTTCTAATCCTGGCAGCCCCACTTCCCATCCAGCTCCCTGATAGCGGCCTGGGAAAGCAGACAAGGACTGCCCAAAGCCTTGGGACCCTGCACCCACGTGGGAGACCCTAAAGAGCTCCTGGCTCCAGAGCGGCTCAGCTCTGGCCATTGCGGTCACTTGGGGAGTGAATCATCAGATGGAAGATCTTCCTCTCTGTCTCTCCTCCTCTCTCTATATATCTGACTTTCCAATAAAAATAAATAAATCCTAAAAAAAAAGCAACTTGAATGTTCCCCATGTTTCTACATTTACAATTTCTCATTTCTACTTGTTTATTTTTGAAAACTTAATGAAAACATTTTATTTATCACCTGTTTATTTGAAAGTCAGAGTGACACAAGGAAGGGAGGGAAGGAGAGAGGAGACTTTGATCCACTGGTTCACTTCCTACAGTCAGGGTCAGGCCAAGCCAGGAGTCAGACAGAAACCCCATCTGGGTCTCCCACATGGGTGGCAGGGGTCCTAAGGCTGTCATCGGATGCCCTCCCAGGGAGCTAGTCCAGAGGCACAGTAGCTAGACTTTCAGTTCAGGCACTCCAAGATGGTGATATGGGCACCAGAAGTGGCAGTTTAACCCAGGGTACCACAAAGCCTGCCCTGAATTTCTGCACTTTTCCTCTTGAAATACAAGGGTAGTTCAAAAAGTTCTTTGAGAATACAATGAAAGATGTCTCACTTTGTACCTAAAACTTTTGAAACTTCTGCCAATGAGGAGTCTGGGCAAAGATCATGAAAGACACATAGCAGGGGGAAAAACTATGTGGATTTCAAACGTAACTTTGTGCCGAAATCAATGTCATTTAATCGCATCGTTTGTGAATTATTGGTAGTATATCTGCCACCTGTAGTGGGCCACAGGCATTTTAGTTCGCAACTGGGAAGACAGGCTGATGTTGGGGGTAGGGTGTAGATAAAGGTGAAAGGTGGCAGCAAGGAGGGGAATCCGGCACTGAGTCCCCAGGATTAATCTGGCTGAGCTGGGGCTGGGGACAGGGAAAAGATGGGAGGGAGCTTCTGGAGGCTTCCGGGAGAAAGAGCAAGGTGAGCAAGGTGCCAAGAGCAGCTGGGGGCACACGCCTGGGTCAGCGAGCAGTCGTGAGAGGATGGCTGTGGTGGACAGGGCTGGCATGGAGACACAGGAAAGGGCCCAGAGTCAAGAGCAGGGCAGGGGACATGGTGTGTGTGAGTGTGTGTGTGTGGGAGGGGAACAGGAAGGCTTTGCCACTCACCTTGGCTTCTAGCACCTTCAGCCGCTCAGTCAACTCCAACACTCGGCTGCAGTTAAGACACCCTGTGAGGAGAGGGGAGGCCAGGGCTGGGGCCGAGGGGTCCCACATCAGCCCCCTACCCCAACCCCAGGACCCTGCAGGGAAAGCACAGACCTTAGAAGTCAGGGAGCCCACTGTGGGGAAGGGGCTATAATACCACAGTGGGTGTCAGACAGACCTTGTGCCGTAGGCTTCCTCGGACTTTGGCACCTCTGGATAGCAGCTACCTCTCCCCGGGGCAGGGGTAGGACCAGGGACCTGACTCCTGGCAGGCTCAGGGATTTAATCACTCCGTGCTCTAAACCAGGCCTGGAAATCTGGGATTCCCTGCCTGGGCCCAGGCTAGGGCCTGCCCCCACAGGCTGGGCTGAACCAGTCTCAGAGGTGCCAGCCTGGGAATCCTGTCCCCAGAACCTGAGTGAGTCCTACAGCAGAGGCTTGCACGGGGCCAGACTCCCACCTGCCAAAGCTGAGCTCTCAGCTGGGAGGTGGCGGGGTGGGAAGAGGAGGAGAGCATGCCTAGCTAATGCAGTGCCTGTGCTGCCCCTCCTGGCTGTGGCTGAGGGCAAGCCATGATGAGAAGCACCTGGCACAGGAAAGCGGGGCTCCGACTGGAGGAGGAGATGGGGGTGGCAACCTGGACCCAGGCCTGCACGTGTTCAGGGATCATGAGGTTCTAGGTAGGGGCTGGGGAGGGGACTGGGCTCAAATCAGATCCCCCCCACCACCTCAGGGAGCCTTTCCTGTCCCCCTGCAAGCTCTTTCCATCCTTGGAATGGGGTGAGGACTAAGGCTGGGGACTGCCCTTAGCCCTCTGCTGCTGGACCCAGCTGGTTCTGGGGATCATTTTAACATTACCTGGGCATACCCCACCTCCCCTGCTTGTCCCCACCCCACAGGACCCACCTGAGAAGGCCGTGGGCCGGAGTGCCATCCGTCTCATGCCGCTGCCCGGCCACGGGGCTGGCTCCACGGGCTCAGGGGAGCCTGCAACTGAGAATGCTGTTGGGAGAGCCCTGCCCTTCCAGAGGCCCCCCACCTTGGTGAGGGACTCCCTATTCATTTCAGCACTAAAACCATGGCCTGGAAAGGTGGGTGCAATTTACCTGGGGTTACACAGCACAGATAGGGCAGAGTTGGAACAAGCTAATCTCTGTGATGAAACTGGTGAGGGGTCAGGATGACAGGCTGAGGGGCTATGGGTGATGTTGGGAGAGCCCTGTGGCTGACTGTCCCACCCTACCCCCAGGCAGCTGCATGGGTGGAGTTGGGAGCTCACGGACGGACAGGACCAGTGTGACTTGACCTGTCTCTTCCCCATTCCACCACCCAATCTGTAAAATGGAACTCTAAAACTCCTGTCCCTCCTGGGCTCCCAGTAGGGCCCTGAGAGGATGCTGATGCACGCAAACAGTTGCACAAACAGTAGATGCTCAATAAATGAAGGCTCTGCCCATCACTGTTGATAAGCACAGACCCAAATGGCCCCAGAATCACTGATGTTAAACGGAAGCCAGCGGGGAATCTGGCTGCCGCTGCCAGGAGCTGGAGAACCCAGCCCCAAGCGGCCACCCAGGTCTGCTCCAGCTCTGTACACAGCTGGAGGGGCTCTTGAGCCAGTCACGGCAGCTGCACCCCCCTCAGCCCCCTGGGCCTGCCTTTTAAGGCCACGAAGCATCTTCTTGAGGTTGGGTTGGGGGAGGAGGCGAGACCCAAATAAGGCACGGGCCTGGCAGCTCGGGGCCAGGCTGTGGTCTGAGCAAGAGGCGCTGAGAACGCCAACCAGAAGGGGACCCTCTGGGCAGGGGGTCCCCAGTGGGGAGACAGCCAAGGGGGCTTTCACTCAGGTCCAGCCTGCTTCTCCTACGTGTTGCCCAGGAGCCAGGAGGTCCTGTTTGTTCCAGGATGGAGGAGGGTGGGGTCGTGGGGGTCTCAGGACCAGGGGGCTATGGGCAAGGGTGGCTCCTGCAAATTCTACCCCTTGCTAAGCACTTAACACAGCCCTAGCTCACTCCAACAAGGTAAGGTACTTTGCACAGTATGTCCCCTGGGCCCCAGGCCACACTGAACACTTGCTGGAGGGTCTTAACTGCGAATGGGCACTGGCATCATTGCCTGCCCTTGATGATGGCTCAATGGGATTTCTCCATGCCCTAGCCCCAGCTCAATGTATGGGTGACAGGGACTTAAGTCCATTTTCCCTTTGGGTTCAGAGGGGTGAAGAGACACCTGACTCCAGGGCCTAAACCTTGGTGGAAGGTGCTCACAGCAGGTGTGCTGGTCCTGGTCCTGGTGTGCTGTCTGCTCTCAGGTAAGGATACAAAGTGTCACCTGTTTGCCTCTGCAGGAAGTTGATCCGAAGAGCTGGTCATGGTGCCAGCTCTGGCACCGTGGGGATTTTCTCCGTGAGAAAGCATGGTCATTGTCCCACCCGCCTCCATGTCTGGAGCACCCGGTCACCAATTTGTCAGAGGCCCTATCAGGCTTGCCCTCAGCCTGAAAAAGTGCCCCAGCACCCAGTAAGACCTCAGGGACTTCCAAACTCTTACAGAGCAATATGTGAATGGCATGCTGCAAACAAACTACAAGCAAGCCGGTGAATAAGAGGCTCCTGGCATCGGAGTGCCTGGGCTTGAGACTCCTGTTTCCCATGTGGCTTTCTGCTAAGACAGCCTTGGAGGCGGCAGGTGACGGCTTCAAGTATGTGGGCCTCTGTCATGTCACATCAAAGATCCAGATGCAGTTCCAGGCTCCTGACTTCAGCCTGGACCAGCCCTGGCTGTTGTGGCTCATTTTGGAGAGTGACCCACCGGATGGAAGATTCATCTCTGTCTCTGTCATTCTGCCTTTCAAGTATATGGAAAAAAAGTAAACACCAAAAACAACTATTTCTGGGGCGGTTGCGGTGGTGCAGCGAGCTAGTCCTCTATCCGTGGTGCCAGCCTCCCATTATGGGCATTGGTTCATGTTCCTGGCTGTTCCACTTCCCATCCAGCTCCCTGCTAACATGCCTGAGAAAGCAGTGGAGGACGGCCCAGGACACTCTATACGCAGATGGAAGACCTGGAAGAAGTTTCTGATTCTGGCTTCAGATCAGCTCAGCTCTGGTCACTGTGACCATTTGGAGGGTGAACTAGAGGATGGAAGATCTCTCTCTCTGTGTCCCCTGCCCCTTATCTCTGTAACTGTGCCTTTCAAACAAAAATTTTAAGAATCTTAATAAATAAACATTTTTAAAAAGATTTAGTTATTTTTCTTTGAAAGGCAGATATACAGAGAAGAGAGACAGAGAGAAGATCTTCCGTTCGGTGAATCACTCCCCAAGCAGCTGCAACAGCCAGAGCTGAGCCAGTCCAAAGCCAAGAGCCCAGAGTCTCTTCCAGGTCTCCAACATGGGTGCAGGGTCCCAAGGCTTTGGGCTGTCCTCGACTGCTCTCCCAGGCCATGAGGGAGCTGGACAGGAAATGGGGCCACTGGGATTAGAACCGGTACCTATATAGGATCCTGGCATGTGCAAGACGAAGACTCCAGCTGCTAGGCTGTAGCGCCGGGCCCAAATTTTTAAAAACCAAAATCTTTTTTCAATCTATAGATGTTGGCCAGGAGCCAGAGAGAACTTGAAAAATGAACCAGAACTTGCAGATCTGACCAGCAGTGCAGATCCAAGATCTTAAACACAGAGGGGCTAACCTGGAGACTCAGTCAGAGGACGTGGGTTCTGGGATCAGAATCCCTAGACATGTTCTCTACAACCCCCTGAAGTCCTGGGAGGCAAGCAGGATGGGCCCTGGGCCCCTGAGACACCACGTGATGGCCCCAGCCTGGCAGCTATTCCCAGAGGGCTCCTCCCTCTCCCCCTTCCTGCCCTCCCGGGAATGACCCCAAAGGCCCCAACGACCAGCTGGTCCCAGGAAGTACAAACACCAACTTCGTTCCGGAAGCCAGACTTGTAGCTATTTCCCAGCAGCCCAGAGGCACCCTCTGCATCCCTCCGCCCCCCCACATACACCCCAATCTCGTGTCTCCTCCTCCAGGAAGCTCTCCCACACAGCCCGGGGTACTCCTTGGAGCCCCCTTCACTCCCTGTCTTGACCTCACTCAGGCCAGGGCCGCCCACAGCCTCTAATCCTGCCTCTTTCCTCCCCGACAGAAAGCAACTTCGCTTCCCTGTGCCCCTTCTCGTGGGAGCCTCGTGACACCCAGGGGCAGGTCTGAGGGTGGGGAGAGCAGGGATTCTGAGCCTGCTAAACAGGAATGGGGGCAGGGTATGAGAGTTGGGACCAGGGGGCAGCCCACCTGGTCTCTCGCCCATGACTTTTTCTGCCATGCATGGGTTTCTTCTGTCGCAGTGAACCCCCTCTGCCCTGCCCCCACCAAGGACTTGCATGGCTCAGTAACCGCAGGGCAGGCTGCAGGAACACAGCTGCCCCCCACCCACCGCCTCCCACCCAGCCCCAGTGCAGGTCCCCGTGGGAATTTCTTCTGCAAATGTAAATATTTGCAGCCGGCCAGCCGGCGGTGGCCTGAGCCAGAGGGGTTAGGGTCAGAGCTGGGGCTGGCTAGGAAGGCCTCTGGGAAGCCTTCGGCTGCCTCTCTTCAGGAGGGGCAGAATGCCCTGGCTCCTCTAGCTCCATGCCAGGCCCGTGCCAGGCACTGGAGATAGAAGAGACAAGAGGAGGGGAATGGGGCCAGGTAGAAGCACCTGGCAGCCAAACAGCCACTGCCAAGGCCACGAGTGGGAGAGGCTGGCACAGGCAGGAGGCGGGGTGTCCAAATAGGGAGGGTGAGGCTGGGATGTAACACTGGGCTCCGGTGTGGTGCCAGGAGGGAGGGGAGGGTGCCGCCGGGGTTGGCTGTGGCGTATGGGCTGGGGCCGTGGGGAGACGGGACTGTTGGGCTCCCAGCCAGGCATGGGAGAGGATGGCTAAGGGACACAGGTGATTCCAGCAGTCGGGATTCTGACTGCGCCAAGGAAAGCAGCAGCTTGGCTCCCAGGTGGAGTACGGGATGTGTGTGGGCAGGGCCTGATCCTGGAGAGTGGGCGAGGCCCGGGCAGGGCCCAGGCTGGCCACCTCCCTCTCACTTATTCTCAGGTTGCTTTGTCACAGGAGCTGAGGCCCCTGGCACCTGTGAGGGCCACAGTCAGGGATGGGACAATGAGACCCTAATGAGGAACTGAAGATAGCCTGGTTCCCGGGAGAGCCTTGGCAAGTCAGAGGGGGCCCCCAGCTGCACACTTCACCTGGGAGAAGCAGGGGCTGAGACATGCACCCCACATGGCCATGCCAAGCCAGTGCTGGCACAAGATACAGGCCCTGTGCCAGCTGGGGCTCAGTGTGTCTGCATGGGCTCCTCAGCCCTTGGACTGTCACCCTCTTGAGCTGCAGTTCTCGCAGTAGGACCAGTGGACCATGCGCACTGACATGAGGCAGGACTGCTGTCTGTGGTTAGCAGCCTCCCTCGCCCTGGTCCTTGTCATTGCTACAGGCCAGAGCTGCCCACAGCTTCTAGTCCTATCTCCCTCCACCCCCTCTGGAGTGGCTCAAAGCTCTTGGGGAGACACCTGGCCAGGACCCTGGCATAGGACCCCACACATTCTGGATGCCTACGGTCAGGAAGTGGCACAGTGGGCGATGTAATGGCTGATGGGAGGCTGCAGAGGTGGTGACACCAGGGGAATGAGGGGTCTGAAGTCAGATGCCAAAAATATGGGGATTGTTGGGTTCTGCCCACCCTCCCTGGCATGGTGCCCTCCCCGTGCCTGCCAGAGAGCCCGCCCGCGCACGCTGCCTCCTGGCCTCAGTTCATTGTTTCCGTGAAGCGGGTGGTTCACCTGCGCCCCCGCCTTGCTGTCCAGCCCCACCTCCCGAGGCCTGGCAGGCAGACAGGTCCCAACCCCTTGTGCTGGTGTATTCCAGATCAGTCCCTTCACTTCACTGAGCCCATTCTCCCACTCCAGCCTCTTCTTCACGGCCGGCTATGGACATCCATCAAGCCTACCCTGCCTCACTGTGGCAGAGAGAATACGCCCATTTTACAGAAGGGAAAACTGGGGCTAAGGGTAGTCAGAGGGCCCCACCGGCCCGGGACGTTAGTTGAGTGACTGACTGAGCTGAGGAGGGTTGTCTAAGGTGGGAGGCCAAAATCTGTCTGCTGGGTCTCCAAGGATCCACAACCCAAAGGGGGAGGCAGAGAGCGGGAAAAGGCAAGTATCGGGCATCTATCAGGGTAGCAGGCCTGGTGACTTACAGGTGAAGGCACGGACCAGAGAGGTGAAGGGAACTGCCTCAAGTCACACAGCACAACACAACCAGATCCCCAGCCTGCCCAGGGGCTCTGTCGTCCCTGATGACGTAGTTCTGTGGCCCCAGGGGTCAGTCTGCAGCGCTGGGAAGGCCACGAGGGCAGTGACCAGCAAGGGAAGCAGCTGGGGGAATCTGGCCGTAACCTGGCTGGGGGAGGAAGCGCAGAGCTTGGGATGAGCCAGCGCTGTGTCCATGCCCCTCCACCCCACTTCCCCTGGCCCCAGCAGAAACGTTTTCTAGAACATTCTGGCCTTGTGCATTGGCTCACCCACTTCCCTTTCCTCAGCTCCGATCCTGTGGGTGGAGAGAGGCCATCCCATCCTGGCAGTCAGTGTGTAGAGCCCACCATGGGCGGTTGGCTCCCTATAGCATCATCTTACAGTGACAGCATCCTGTGGTCATGCCCATTTCACAGGTAAGAATGCTGAGGCTCAGTATGGGCTGCAGCTAGTGCACATGTGCACCCACCCTTCAGCACAGGCGGCCCCTCCCTAGGCAAGCCAGGGTCCCTGGCCCAAGGCCACACAGCTGAGGAAGCTCACAGACGGGCAGGGGCAACCCCTAGCATCGTTCCTCTCTCACTTTGGTCGAGCCCGTCAGTACCGCCCACACCTGCCCTCGGCCCTCCCCTGCACCTGCAGATGCCCCTGAGAGGGGAGCCAGGGCCTTTGTTTGGAGAGCAACCCCCATGCCCAGGGACTAGTTTCTTTACGCCCTCCTTGGCAGCGGCCCCTCCTGGCAGGGTCTCCTTCTGCCCCTCTACCCCCTCTTTTTCCCACCTCCAGCCTCAAGATGGCCCCTTTCCATGTGGCTCTGGCCTCTCCACTCCACCTGCATGGGCCTTAGCTGTCCCATCTACACAAGGGGCCCAGGGAGGGAGCCATGTTCACTTCTGAGTGGCCAGGAGGACCCATGTCACACATTCCAGGACACAACCTAAGTCTGCCTTGGGGGCTCACGGTCTCAGGTCAGCTCTTGTCCAGTCCCCCTCATCCTAGTTGCCCATCAGCCTGCTGCCGCTGTCTGGATGGATACATAGACACCTCCCTGGTTCCCCTGTTGGATGTTCAGCCTGAACTACCCTAAGAAGAGTGGCACAGTGACAGGCCCCAACTGCCCGTCTGCCCTGGGGGATCCCATTCCTGAGGCTCTGGTCTGGAGCCAGGCTGTTCGGCACTGCCCTCACCTTCCAGAGCCCTGGGCGGCTCCCCTCTGGCCCAGCAAACTGACCAGGACAAAGATGCTGCTTGGAACACCAGCATCTCCAATGGAGGGCCTGCCTCAACTACGCTTCTGATCGACACACTGGTGCTAGCGTGCCTGGGGGGCAGCGGGGGACAGCCTAAGCCTGCTCCGGTGCAGTTCTTGACTCCTGGCTTCAGCCCAGCCGAGCCCTGGCTGTTGCAGGTGTTTGGAGCATGAACCAGCAGATGGAAAATCTTTCCCTTCTCCCTCTACCAGGAGGCCTTTCAAATAAGTAAATCTTGACAACAACAAAAAATACTGGGCGATGCTGCACACAGCGGCCAGCAAAGGGGGGCCACACCACAGCTGCACGTCTGTGCGCCAGGCGCCCGTGTGTGCAGCCGACTCCGATGTGCGCGTGTGCGGGGTCTGCGGACTTGACCACGCTGTGCCACTCCTGTGTGCCCCTCTCACCGACTCGAGACCCCGCATCGTCTTCCTACCTTCCTCGCAGCTCACCCCCGAGTGTCCCGGGCAGCACTTCCACTCGCGGGCTGTCACTGTCTTGTACATCACTCTATACGTAGGTCTCACCACGGTTCTGTAGCTGGAAGAGACAGCCCCGGTGGTCCCACTCAGACGGGGGAAGTCTCCCATGCTGTGGACGCCCACAGCAGGAGGCATTCTCCTGCCCCTTCTAGGACCCCCCTTTAGAGTCTGTTTCCTCCTGCATTCCCAAGAATCAGAGCTCCACTGCAGGCCCTGAGAGGAGGTGGGGAATATCAAGAAGTATCTACAGGTTGGACTGGCCCTAATCCTAGCAGTGACTCCTGCACTGAATTGAAAAAACAGGATTGAAAGGTGGCTGCCTCCTCCAGGAAGTCCTCCAGGGCTTCCTCCTGAGGGCCAATGCTGGAGTCTAGGCCTTCTCTTGCAATCTCTCCCTCTCCAACCCTCGCCCCCCTGCTGACCCCCCCTTGCCAATACCCCATCAACATCATCTCTTCCAGGGGCTTCACTCACCTGCTCCCCGGGCAGCTCATGGGCCAGGGGCAGTTGTGCAGCACACGCTGAAGGTAAGTACCATTTTGCACGTGGCATGATACGGTGCGGGTCACCACATAGGAGCACCAGTTTCTGGAACAGACCCAGAAACAGAAGGCTCAGGTGCCAGGGACAGTGGCAGGATGGGTCACAGTCTTTCTAGGCAGGTGGAGTTGGAGGGGACTCTGTGTTACCTATGGGTGCAGGAAGTAGACAGAAGGGGCCCTGCAGAGGGGTGGCAGGCAGCGACAGCAGAGGGTGGGGGGAATTAGCTGCTGGGGCAAGGAAGGGTGGGGGTAGGGCACGAGAGCCACCACAGCTTCATGTCTCCAACCTGGACAACAGTGAGGACCTAGGGCAGGAGCAGCACAGACAGGGACGAGCTGGCCCTCCCCTTCCGTGCCCATCCCCCATCCCCCACTCCCCATCTCTCAGGACTTCCTGAGTCTGCACCTGTCCTGGATCTCCACACCTACCCACCTTGTCTGGCGCCCCTTCCTCCAGTTCACCTCCATGCCCACCTATGCTGTCACCTCTGCCCATCTCAGGTGAGCTGGTGGTACCCCCACCTGCACCCCCCACTTCCCACAGCACCCAGAGAGAGATTCCTGGTGCCCCCCTGTCTTGTGTATACCCACCCACCGTTGTGCGTCCTCTGGGTGCCATCCAGAGGGTATGCAACATCCCATGCGTGGAGAACCGGGAGTCGTTCTCCAAGTGCCGACTAATGATCACTATATGCTGGGGAGTTTGCATCACCCTCCGACCATGAGCCAAGGAGGCTCCTCCCTCCACCCATGTTCTAGAGGGAAAACAGAGGCTTCTGTAGGGGAAGGAGGATGGCTTTGAACCCAGGCGGGGAGGGGGGGGTCCAGCCGGGGACTCTGGAGGGTTTCCCACCACCACCTTGTGTCACGATGCATGGCTCTGTGAGGGCCCCAGCCTGGGAACCTGCTGACCTCGGGCTCAAGGCCAGGACTGGGTGTCCAGTGGATGGTGGGTAGGCTGCTACGGGTCACCTGAGACCATCCACCCTCCTCTAGCCCCAACAAAAAGCACAGGGCTCATGACCCTCTGCAGAGCGCAGGGCCACTGGGCTCCTGGAATGTTCCCTCGCCACTGCACAGGTGCCAGCCCCCTGCAGCTGCTCAGACTGTCAGCAGGGATAGGGCTTGTTGGGGTTTGCCTGTGGGGGACCCCGGAGCGGGGGAGTGCCTCCTCTTTTGGGGTCATGCTGCAGCCAGCCTGGGGAAAGGAGCCAGTCTGGGAGCCGGGGGAAAGGCCTGCAGGTGGACGAGCTAGGAGAAGGGCACCCCGCAGCAGTGCTCAGCAAAGTTTTTGGCCAGCTGCATCCTGGCTACCAGGAGCAGCCTAAATAGCAACAGGGCTGCCAGACATGGAGGGTAAGACTGTGACACATCCCAGGGTCTCTGTGGCTGATGCGATGACCACGCCTGCCACAGACAAAATTAAAAAATTAAAAAAATAAAAACGAGCACAAGGCTGGTAGTGTGGTACAGCGGGCACCTGCAGTGCCAGCATCCTATACAGCCACTGGCTTGAGTCCCAGCTGCTCCTCTTCTGATTCATTTCCCTGCTAATGCACCTGGGAAAGGAAACCTTGGACCCCTGCACCCACATGAAGTCCCAGAAAAGGTCCTGGCTCCTGGTTTCCACCTGGCCCAGCACCAGCCTTTATGGCCATTTGGGCGAATGAATCAGCAGATGGAAAATCTCTCCTGTTCTCGCTCTGGAACTGCCTTAAATAGGGATGGGCGTGGTAGTCTAGTAGCTAAAGTCATCACCTTGAGCACACCAGGATCCCATATGGGCACTGGTTCTAATCCTGGAAGCTCCACTTCCCGTCCAGCTCCCTGCTTGTGGCCTGGGAAAGCAGTCGAGAATGGCCTTGGGACCCTGCACCCACGTGGGAGACTTGGAAGAGGATTTGGGCTCCTGGCTTCAGATCGGCTCAAATCTGGCCATCACAGCCACTTGGGGAGTGAATCAGCAGATGGAAGATCTTCATCCTCCTCTATGTATATCTGACGTTCCAATAAAAAGAAATAAACCTTAAATAAATTACTAAATGAATCTTTAAAATAAAAAAGCAAGCAAGTACAGGCCACTAGATCCTGGGCAGCTGCATTTTCAGGAACATAAGGGGGTGGGGCTGCCTCTGGGGTCACCTGCAGCCTCTCACAAAGGGCCTGGGTGTGCATTCTGGCTCCGCTTCCCACTCCAGCTTCCTGCTAATGTGCTCGTAGGAGGCAGCAAGTGACGGCTCAAGTAGCTGGGTCCCTGACCCCGTGGGTGGGAGACCCAGAGTTCTAGGCTCCTGGCCACTACGCTACTGCGCTGGGCCCAAAACAACATTTAAATGTTGATTCCTTTTTTTTTTTTTAAGATTTATTATTTTTATTGGAAAGGAAGAGATACAGAGAAGAGGAGAGGCAGAGAGGAAGATCTTTGTTCAATGGTTCATTCCCCAAGCAGCCGCAATGGCTGGAGCTGAGCCCATCTGAAGCCAAAAGCCAGGAGCCAGGAGCTTCCTCCAGATCTCCGATGCAGGTGCAGGGTCCCAAGGCTCTGGACTGTCATCGACTCCTCTTCCAGGCCACAAACAGGGAGCTGGATGGGAAGTGGGGCCGCTGGGACTAGAACTGGTGCCCACATGGGATCCCGGTGTGTTCAAGGCGAGGACCTTAGCTGCTATGCTATTGTGCCGGCCCTTTAATATTTATTCTATTAAGAAGAAAGATGCATTTCAATAAAAGACTACCCATCCTGCAGAATGGTTGTGAATCTCATGGCATTTTGTTTTAGGGGGTGTTGGAAACCCCTTTGGGAAATGGATAGAAACTAGGGCCCCTCTTTGAGGACATACCCAAACCTGGTGAACAAGTTCCAGGGTTCTGGGTTGGAGCAATGGGGCAGACAGCAGCCTGGGCAGTGGGAAGTTAGAAGCTGCAGGTAGCAGATGGACACAGGGTGTGTGCCGGTGTGTGCATGTGCACAGAAGCACATAATTCCTACACGGGTGCTCACACATGCGCCTACAATGCACAGACCCACAGGTGCACACAAGCTGAGGCAAATGGAGCAGGATGTGTAGCCATGGAAACAACTGTGCTCCCTGCAGCCAGGTCCACATCTGCACACACACGGCTGTGCCCCGCATATGCACACACACACACACACACACACACACACCATGACAGACACACGTTTACTGACACGGACCAGCCAAAGCAGGACCGTGAGGGACCCTCCTGTCTGCCAGTGTGTCTACACAAACACACACACACACACACACACACGCACACATGCCAGCCCTCCCTCACAGATGCACCTGCGTGGTCAGGCTGAGGCAACCCTGGCGGCATTCAGGGTGGTGTGTCCTCACCTGTGTTCGTGCATGCACACACACATACACACCTCTTCCAGACAGGAGGGGCAGACTCTATGGGGTACGTCGACCCCGATCATCTGGTCTGGATACACTTCAGGACTGCCTGCCCTTCCACATCTGTGCATACCCGGCCCTAGTCGCAGGTGGTGGCCCTGCGACTGTCTGTGAGCAAAAAACCATGCACAACCACTGTTCTCTTCTTTCTGAATTCAAACCTCCCTGCGGTGGTCCAGTGCCCCGTGCACTCCAGTTTGTTTCTTGAGAGTAAGATTCTGGGGGTCCCTGCCTTAGAGATAGAGATGTGCTGGGAGCAGACGGCGAGTCAAACATTTTATAGAGAAAGGGGCTCTTGGACTGCCCCCTCTCCCATCCCTGCCTGTAGGACCCAGCCTTGCTGCCTCCAGTGTCGCTGGCCCAAGCTCCCTCCACCACCACCATCCCGGCCCAGCTCATGGCCAGGGTCTGCCACCCTCCCAACCTTCTGCTCTCCATGGGGCAACAGGTGGTTTAAACACAGTTCTACTGCGGCTGCTGTTCAAGTGGCATGTGCAACCTGTCATGGTTTCCCATGGCCCTACAGGGCCCACAAACTGCACCCTCTTTCACCCTACCCATCTCTCCTCCTGCCCCTACTCCCGCCGCTCATGGCCTGGAATATCCCTTCCCCTGGCAAGATCCTGTTCATCTCCTGGGTCTCATGGTGGTGTGGGGACTGCCTTAACCATCACCCACAGCCCTGAGCACCCCTCTCCAGCAGGTACAGGGGCAGGAACGTGGGCAGGGACAGAGTCAATAGAGAGGGCACTGAGGGATGTTTGCTGACTGAGTGACTACTGACCGCCCACCAGCCATGGCATTAGACAAAGGAGTCAGCACTGAGATGCACAGATGACTATCCCTGCTGTGTGATCCAAGTTAAACTGACTCAGCCAGGTGAGCTGGGCAGCAACATGGGGCTGGTGGCAAGGGCTGGGAGGAGGCCACCTTTCCCTCCCCGAGCCTACCCTCCTGCCCTGCCACTCAGCACCTCCTGAGCCCCTAGAGCCTCACCCCATTCCCTGTGAGTAGAGAAAACAGGCCAGACCAGCTCAGCCTGGCACCGGCCACCCATCCCCTGACAGGGTTCTCGCCAGCACCAACACTTGCCCTCCGCCCCCTGCCGTGAGGGGCCCAGAGGACTTTGTCTCCACTAGGGCCCAGGGCTGCGATCCGGAACGGTGATAGGGGCTAATTGCAGGAGGCAGCCAGGTGGGCCCAGGGCCAAGGGCTGTTATGAAAAGGGGAGGAAAGAAGGGAGCTGGAGCGGGTGGGGGTGCAGGGCAACGGGAGCCAGAACCCTGCACCAGGGGGGCCAAGTTCCAGGCCCTGGGCTCTTCTGCCACTTAAATCCTTTCTGGACCTCACTTTGTCCACCTACAAATGGGACTGCAACAATGTCTCTGAAATAGGGACCCACTTGCTGTAGCACTGACACAGCTGCTGCTGGGAGTTCTCAGTCCTGGGCTGTGTGGGCCACAACTGTGGTTTCAGAGGGTGGGAGTGGGGGCTTCCCTGGGATCTGGGGACACCAGCACCATCCCCTTTGACACAAGGGTCTTCCTCTGACTTGGCGAGCTGTCGGATTCTGCATGTTTCACCACGGGAAACTTGAGGCTTGGAACAAAGGCACCTGCTGCAGTGACCCACAAAGAAGCTGGGGGGGGGGTGGTGGTGCTAGAGCCCCTGGGGCAGGGGCCAGGCCAGGCAAGATGCCATTCCTTTCTGAGCTGACCACGCTCCCTGATCCCTTGCACCCCCCCCCATGGCAGCTTGGGGCCACAGTGGTGAGAGGCCTGGGGGCGCCAGTGGCAGCTTGGAGAGCTCCCAGTGCTGAGGGGAACAATGAAACGCACTGGGGATGCTGGCTGGGAGGACCCTCTACACGGTGGGCCTGGGGTGGAGGTAGGGGGCTGGCAGGCATTCTGCATGCCACCGTCCCCCCACCCGAGTTACCCAGGTTCCTGGTGGGGGCAGGGAAGGGAGAGGCAGGGAGGCAGGAAGGGGTCTCCAAGTCTTACCACATTCCTGCGGCTGGGGGTGGCCCCTGGGATGCCTTCCCCGGCCTCCCCCTCCCCAGACACAAAGCATCTTTTCTGCCCTGGGTGCCTCTGCTGCCAAGGGGTGCCTGGGGCGCCGAGCTGGGGGCAGGCAGCAGCCTGACACCCCTGTGCCTGTCTCCAGGGCTGCTGGGACAGGGCCACAAGAGGAGGTCCCCGCAGCCCAGGGCCACAGACTTCCCTGGCTGAGGGTACCCGCCCCCATCCACTGAAGGCTGGAGACAGCAGGAACTACTGAGCCCAAGGCCCTGTACTGGGGCTGTTCACTCTCACAACAGCCCTGAAACAGGGTATGAGGGGACGCTGAGGCTGTGAAACAGTCCACTGAGGACACATGGTGGGAGTGGTGGTGGGGCAGGAGTCATGCCCCATCCTGCCCGCAGACATAGTGACCCTGCAAATTGTCCCCAGCATCCCCCCACACACACCCAGCTGCTGCCCTCGCTCCACTGATGCTGGCTTTGGCCTAGATTTGAGGGGCCACCTTGCTCCTGTCATTGAGGGCTTTTTGTGACACCCAAACTACTAGGACAGCCAGGTGTGAACAGCAAGGGTGGCAGACACCTGCTGCCAGCCACAGCTCTGTTCCAACCCAGGACCCCAGGTGGAGAAGGAACCCTGGCCTCAAGCTCTCCTCAGCAGCATTCTGCACCTGCTACCATGGAGAATTCTGAGTTCACAGCCTGTGTCTTGGATGGGAAGGCCCCTGGGCCTCTGGGCCCCCGGGGGGGAGTGTCCATGCACACATGGGTCAGATCACAGACCCCTCTCTGGATTCTCCCTCTGCAAAACAGGGATCACACAGATCAGATCTCCCAGGGTAGTTCGGAAGATTCCAGAAAGGATGGGTATAGGGAAGGCACCCTAAGGCTGCCTGGCCATGGTCAGCTCACAATAGATGGTGGCTGTGCCACCCGCCAGCCACATGGCTATTCCTTTCTTGGACAACTGCTTCCGGTACACTGGTCACCTCCATCCTTCATTCATCCTCCAACCCGCCTCCCCCAACACACACACACACACACCAAGCCCTGCCCCCTGACACCTGCCCTTTGCTAGACCAGCAGGGACGTACTGGCCCCTGACCACTGGGAAAAGAGAATTTCTGAAAAGAATGAAAGACTTGAGGCTGTAGGGGGTGGGGGCCGGGTCCAGCCTTTGAATAGGATGAAAAGGCCAGCAGAGGCCTGGCCGGCTCGGCATTGTCTATCGGGACAAGAGGGAATCCCCGTAGACTGCAGCCAGGGCAGGTTCAGACGTGGTTACCAGGGACCACGAGGACAGATCCAAATCCTCCCCTGTTTTCATCAGATCTCAGTTTGTTCTTCTGTTGAATGGGACCAACTGCTCCCACCTCACTGGAAATTGATGAGTTAAGAGGGCGGGGGTTGGGAGTGCAGGCTCAGGGTATATAAAGAGTTCACAGTGTGTCTGTGTCCATGTGTGTAGAAGGATTGGGACAGGGAGACCCGCGGGCTCCATTCTGTCTGCGTCCAAAATGTCAAGTCTCAGGGGAGCCAGGGACACCGACCCACTGGGTTGTGAGACTCCACCCCAAGCTCTTCCTCCAAGGGAAATAAATAGCTGGGGACACTAAAAAAAGCCAGAAGCAGGGAACAGAGGAGGGGAGCCCCCGAGGTTTGGCTGCTAGGGAGGGGTGCGGAGAGTGGGGCGTCTGGGTCCTTTCCCATGTGCAAGGGGAGGGGTCCCTGTGCCAGGGCGACACACGTCCTGGGGTGGAGAAGGGAGCTCTGCCCTCCTGGCGCCCCTTCCCCTCCCCGTTGCGGGTACCCGGCTGGAAGGGGAGTCTGGGGGGCTCCAGACACACGGGATAGGAGACCTTCCCGCATTCTCCGGAGCCTCGGACCCACCCCCGGGCAGAAGTGGGGGAACCAAACCCGGACACATTCCCAACCCCGGGCTTGCTCCCAGGTGGGTGAGTGTGCCCCCAGTCCCCGGTCCGCAGCCTGAGCTGGTAGGGCACAGAAGTAGGGGAGAGAGGGGGAGCTTGGGAGGGCTGGGGGTATCGGCGAGTGGGAGTGTGTGTGGGGGTCCCTTACCTGCGTCCCGAGAACGCCGCTCCCCCGACGCTCCACGCGGCGCCACCTCCCGGGAGCAGGAGCCCGAGGCAGAGCAGCGCCCAGGCCCGCGGGCCGCCCATGCTGCGCCCGGCGCCGTCCGCGCGCGGCCCCTGCCCGTCGCCGCCCCCAGCCCGGCGTCCCCGCCCGCCCGCGCCGCCAGCCGCCCCGGACGCGCCGAGCCCGGTTTGCAGCGGCAGGAGGCGGGCGGGGGGTGGGAGCGCGCGTTCCCGGCCGCCGCCCGGCCCCTCGGCGCGGCCCCCCGCCCCCTGCGCCGCTGCTGCCAACCCGGAAGGAGCCCCGGGGGCCTGGGAGCCCCCGCCAGGAGGTCGGCCAGGTGCGCACCTGAGCCCAGCGTCGTTGCACTCAGCTCTGCGTGGGCCCTTTTGAGGGGCTGGGGGTGGTTAGGGTGCAGGTTATGTTGCAATATGGGGAAACGGAGACTGGGGGCTGCGTGGTCAGGGCTGGAGCATGCTAGGCCTGAATGAAGGGAGACCCCGGGTTTCTCCCTGTCGGTGCAAACCCCACGGGGTCTGCCCCAGGCTCCTGCACCTGTCTGCCATTGTGTATTGGGCCCCCTCACTGCCTGCTCCATGTCCTTTTTACAGCCCCAGCCACATGGGTACTGGACATGAAGCAGTGTCTACTCCCGCTTCCAAATGTGCAGATGGGGAAACTGAGGCACAGAGAAGGGGGACGTCATCAATAGCATCAGTGGATTTGTACAATCCGGATATGAATCCAGATCTCCTAATCACTCTTCGCCTAGGGAAAAGTGTAGATGGGGCCACTGGCCTGCACCCCAGTTTCCCCTCTATGCTGAGTTACGGATTGACCCAAAGTGGAGTGTTTTCATCTGGGGTCCACGGATTGACTTCTGGGGGTGCTGGGTGTGTGTGTGGCAGGTGTCTGTATGAGGTGACTTTGTTGCATGTGGATGATGTGTGTGCCTGGGGCCCAGGTGACAGTGATCCTGCCTTCCCTGGACATGGCGCCCTCTGCCTCCCCAGGCTCCGCCTCTCCTAAGCTTCCCCACATTGGACCCCTGGGGGACAGCCCCTCCCGCACTCACACGGGAACTGGGCCCAAATCAAGGAGGGATCATCACCAGTGTCCCCGACACAGGGAACGGACCCCTTTTCCCCAAGGGAGAGCTGGGTTTCAGTTCCTCCTCTGGGCCCCAGGTATGAGTTTGGGTCCTGCCCCAGCTCCTTTTGTGAGGACAATGGCCTGTTCCTTTCAGGGCTACACGCAGAGGTATTACCTCTCTCTTTCTCTCTTTGTGTGTGTGTGTGTGTGTGTGTGTGTGTGTAACGAAGCAAGAGATGTCTTCCTTCAGCTGGTACTGGACTAGGCAGAAGTCAGGAGTCAGGAGTTTTTACCATGGTGGGTACAGGAGCCTAAGCACTTGGGCTATCCTCTGCTGCCTCCCTAGGGCATAAGCAAGGAGCTGGATGGTGCCTGGAACATCCAGGACACAAACTGGTGCCATTATGGGATACCAGTACCACAGGCAGAGGCCTCATCCACGGTACTGCAGTGCCAGCCTGGGTCTCTAATCAGCTTCCTGCCTCCTGGTTAGCCTTTGGTTCTGGGCCCTGAGGGGCTGTGTCCCCAGGGGATCCCAGGCCTGCCTGAAGCCCTGGTCGAGGAGTGGTGAGTCTTGAAGAGACCCCAGGTATCTATGCCGGGTGTGCTTGAGATGCGCCTGTGATGTGTGGTGCTCCCAAGCCTTCCCCAAGGTCCTGGCACCCGTGGGGGCTTTGGCCCACACAGGAGGTCCCTGCCCTGGTGAAGGAGATCCCCGTGGTCAGAATTGTAAGGTCTCCACAGCCCTGCTCTGGGTGCTTGTGTGCACGCAGAGCCGGACCTTGTGGCGTGGTGCCCCTGAAGGGGTCTGAACGCCAACTTCAGAGCGGCCACAGAGAGCTGTGTGACCAGGGGCCAGCCACTTCCCCTCTCTGGTTTCCCTGCCTTGCCCATGACCACAAGCCCCAAGGGCCATGTCCAGGTCCCTCTGGTGGACCTCTCCACACTTCTGGGAGGGTAGGAAAGCATCAGCTCTCCCTGCAGTGGTCTCCAAGGGTGGGAGAGGAAGGGGTCCCCTCCACTGAAATCCACCTCCCCATGTGCTGGGGTCCGTGCAGTAGATGTGGGGGACATGAGGGGGTGAAGAGTGTTCCATTGCAGGCAGGGCCGCGAGGAACTTCCCGCTGATCGGCAGGGCCCATCCAGCGGATGTCTCTACAACCACCTGAATGCAACTCCATCTTCTTTTGCATGGACACTGGACCACCCTGCGGAAGAATTCTAATCCATCCTGGCATTTGCTACTGCGAGGTTAACCTTTTGCTCAGCCTGAACTTGGAGGTCAATGTCTTGCAAATGGGGCCTTTTGTCATTCCTATTATCTTAACTGTCCCCATTGAACCTATGCTAATCAAGGGACCTGTATTTAGGCTTTCATTCTTTCCTTGACCTTTAAGTTCTCCTTTTCTTTGTGATACAAGATTGAGTTGTAGGATAAGAATCCTAGCAGGAACTTCTATTGTTTCTAAGTAAAACTAATGGCAGAATTATCCTTAGAAATATCCATTTGTTCATGACGTAAAAAGTCTGAGCCAGAATTTGACTGATTTTGTATAAATAAAGCGGACAGCTTTCCTGCATTGTCCATTATGATCATGAAGTCCTAGTGGTCCGTCTCTTTCTTTCCTCTTTACGCCTCATCCACGCACCCTTCGCGAGTTCCGAACTCAGCTGGAGCTGGACTCCGGCAAGTGGCGCCCAACGTGAGGGCTCGACGAAGGTAAGTCTTTTCTTTCTCTTTGCGGCGTGGATAGGACTTCACCCAGGGTGCTGCAGGCCCCCTGACAGAAGGTCAGGTTAGGAGGGGTGAATAGTCAGAACTTATATTGAGAAGTTGTGTACCCTCTGTGCTGTAAAAATGGGCCAGAGCGATTCTAGTGAAAGAAGTTTATATGCTGATATTATTAAACATACCTTACATAGGAAGGGCATTAAAGTTAGCAAGAAGCAATTATTAGAATTTTTGCAATTTGTACAAAAAGTTAGCCCATGGTTCATTGAGCAGGGCACTTTAGAACTAAACACATGGGACCAGGTAGGAAATGATATGAAAAGGTGGTATAGGAGTAATGGACGAGTGGGCATGCCATCCTCGGCATATGCCATTTGGAATGTTTTACGGCAGGCACTAGATGTGGGACCTGAGCCTTATCCCGCGCCTTCAGCTCAGCAGGGAGAACATACTCCCCTTCTTGATCCTCAGAAGGGAGGCTTAGACCTTAGTTATAGCTCAATGGAAAGTGTCTGTCCTGAAGATAATGTAAAATATTGTAAAACTGATCAGGAAAGTTTAACAGATGAAGAAGAAGATTTTTTAAAACCAGAAATATTCAGATCAGGAGTTAGAGATTGTGAAAAGGGGCAAATGGCTGAGTTACATGATAATAGGTCTCCTGCTGTTGATGATAAGCCTTCAAGGTATTCTGCTAAGCCTTGTGAGCCCCTTCCAGCAAGACCAGATCCAGCAAAGGTTGGCTTTAGAGGGACAATGCAGCAGGCACATAAGGAAGGTGATTTTTTCTGTTTTCCTGTTGTTTATGAATGGGATGAACCTGAATGGGAGCCGTTGCCTTATAAGCTTATTAAAGAACTTAAGCATGCTGTCTCTGACTAAGGGCCAAACTCCCCATACACTAAGACATTGGTGGAGGGACTAGCTGCAAAGTGGATGACTCCTTATGATTGGTTTCAGGTTGCCAAGGCTTGCCTCACAGGAGGAAACTTCCTTTTGTGGAAAATGGAATATGAGGAATTAGCTAAGGCAGAAGTAAAGTCTCAGGGATCTGTGAGGCGTGGCAAACCTTCTTTTACCCTAGACATGCTTTTAGGACAGGGCACTCATCTTGGCGTTTCAGAACAACTTACTCTGCCTAAGGAGACCTTACAGCTTATCTCCTCCCTGGCACTAGGAGCATGGAGACGCCTGCCATCTCCAGATCAAAAGTCTTCAAATTTTGTAAATGTTAAGCAGAAGCCTGAGGAGCCTTTTGAAGAGTTTGTAGCTAGACTCACCGAGGCAGTGAGCCGGACAGTAATTAACAATACAGCTACAGATCTCATAGTTAAACAGCTAGCTTTTGAAAATGCTACTCCAACTTGCCAGACCTTAATTCAGCCAGTGAGAAGGACAGGAGATTTGTCAGACAATGTTCGAGCTTGTGCTGAAGTAACTCCATCTTACATACAAGGGTTAACTATTGCTGCAGCTCTTCAAGGTCAAACTGCCACTCAGATTTTAAAGAACATAAGAGGCAATCAAAGAAATAGAAAAAGAAACAATTGCTATTCTTGTGGTGAAGTAGGGCATTTCAGCCACAGCTGTCCTGTCAGAAAATCATCACGAAATTTCAAACGGGAAAAAACTTATAGGGACACTCCTAACCCTAATTTAAATATTCCTCGCACTGTCTGTCCACGGTGTGAGAAGGGATTTCATTGGCAAAAGGCTTGTCAGTCTAAATTCCACAAGAATGGAACAGTTCTATTGCCTCAAAGTCGATCTAGATTGAGTAATCAGTCTGTACAGGGTCAGATGCAGGGAAACAGGAGGCGGACCCTGTCCTGGGCCCCCCAAGTAATGGGGTCATGTATGGATATTGTCTCTGAGAGTTACAAAACTAAAACATTGAGTGCTGCATTAAGCAATGGGTTAAAGCAAAATAGATTTAAATGTCATGCTAAATGTTTTAATGGTGGGAAGCCCAGACACCTTCCAAAACCATGCCGAGCAGCAGTATCTCTTTTAGCTCAAAAATGTGGCACTAATACTGTTAAGGATCACTGCCCTAAAATAAGTCCTAAATGTCATAGAGGTGTACATTGGGCAAAAATATGCAAATCTAAAATTGATCATAATGGCCAGTGCCTAAGGTCAGGAAACTCCTGGCGGGGCCAGTCTCGGGCCCTAAAGAATCAGAGATTTAAAAGACAGCAATATTTTACCCAAGCTGTGCCTATAGAAGAGTAACAGTAAATTTGATATTGATTGTGGTAA